TCTAACATCGAGATTTCTAAAATCTTTAATACGGTAGGCCAACATTCCATCAAAATAAAAACGTCTTACAGATGCAAAGAAGAAAATCGTCTTTTTTGTCTTTTACTTAATGGTCCAATGTTGTCTGGCCTTGCGTTCGTTTCCTGAATTTCGTCTTCCATGACTGAGTAGGATCAAACACGAATGTATTTACAGGTGCACTGTCACCAGTTTTAACGGCTGTTCTGTACAGTTCAGACGGAAAGCTGGTAGAGGCTGAAGTAATGGGACATGTCATTTATCGAGAACATCGTCTGACCCAGAAAGGAACCTCAGAAGCCTATTTGAATGTGAATATTTAACGACCATATACTAGAATTCATGTCAGATTTGTCATATGAGCCTTTAGGTAGTCCCTCTCTGTTGAGAAAGCATTGAAGTAAAAAAAAATCAAGATTAATCCATCGGAATTGCTATGTAAATGGTATATTTATACATTTATGTCTTCTAGAATTTAAGGTTGTAAAAACTAAGGCACAAAAATGTACAATTCCTTTGTGCAATGTAATGATGAGGAGTCCGAAGCCTTAATCATAAACCTTAGCTTTATCTCTCAATGCGTTGTTATTCATCTGAAAAACTCTCGAACGTTCCTTGATGACAGTGGTGGAAGTAAAGTAGTCCTTCGGTTTGTGCACAGTTGTGCGTCAACCTTTTCTTTAGAACTTTTGAAAACTTTTGTAAGAACACAAGGCTAAGCAGTTCATCAATCTTAAAATCTAATGCATTGAGGCTTTGCTATTCTGTGCTGCCCTAAAACCTTCAACTTCGATGGCCAGTATAATTGCTGTCGTAGCTAGTTTTCTAGAACACTCACATGCTCACTGCTATTCAGTATCACCACATAAATGCAATATTTCTTTCTGAGTATCGCATTTTGTTACCAGTCATCGTGTTGTATTCTACACGTATTTCTTTTCCTCCTCTCTTGTCGGATCGCATTTTCTCGCTTGGGGCAAACCAAAGTGCAAACTAGCAGTTCCATCGAAGACATTAATTCGTTTGCAATGGCAATCCATACTTTTCATTAGTACCTAGTACAGGGAAGGCTATAAATTCCTTCGGCTTCCTATCGATTATTCATCAATGGTTGAGTGAGCGGTCCGATGGTCGTTATGACTTCCTTTGGTATGCCAGTGCTATATCCAAACACATAATTCAGAGCCATTTGGAGCGGTGTATTTGGGAATTTTTGGCGATGTTTTTTTGTAATTATCGTTATTTTTGCTTTGCTTTAATTCTCGGACCCCTGTTTAGTTATTAACTTTGCCCAAAAAGTATAGTCTTCCCTTTTTTAGCACGTTGCACAAAAATTACGCTTTCTTTTTAATATCTACACACACACATTGCTGTCCACTTCTCTGAGTTGGTGATTAATCTTAGTTCTGATTCGATATGAGCCATTTATTACCCATATAAAAATAATTTGCTTCTTTGAATTAAAAAATAACATGTTTCAACTCATGGTAAACGCTACATATTGAAATAGAGGTCACTGCTATCTGCAGTCTTTGTCAAAAAGTCACATGTTTCGCTACGCTACTAGAATGAAACTGCGATTTTCTGGTGTGCAGTAACAGCTTCACTCTTCTTCTTTCTTATCCCAGTGCTCCAAACAGCGTAGAAAAGAGCGTGCGAAATTTCCCCGACCACAGTCGTCGTCCACATGCGACTATAATCAGCTGTTCTAAACTTCCTCATTGGAAGTCACGAAAAAGCGGCTCTGAAGAAGGCGATACTGCCGAAACGTCAGCTAGCGTTGTATTGTATTGTGTTTTTATGGAAGTAAATGTATGCTGTCTAAAGACCTCGCGATTGCTGAACAAGAAAACGACACATTTATCATTAGCTTTTGTTCATAGAATGTCCGAGTAGGACTAATATTTTTGAAGACGTCGATGCAGCTCTAATTCGTTGAGGCAGAGGTTTCCTTGTAACTTTCCAGTTTCACTTCGAAAAATCATCTGCATTTTCCAAAACCCACACCGTTGACAATTCGGCTGCCTTAAACACTCTAATAAAACAGCAATTTCATTTTATTGTTTGTTTTTGGTTTCTTAATGAAAATTGATGCCTAAGTTTTATAAAGTTTACTAATATTGAAAACAATCCTGTTGTAAAAATAACTCTCCATAGTATTTATTCGTTGCTTTTTATGGTGAAAAATTCAATAATTTCTAGTAAAACTGAATTCTTTGTCAGAAAACAGACAAGTTGGCGAAAAGCAGGCACTCAAATGAAGTGACGTCACTCTTACGTCGTCATCATTCGTTCGATGTTTTGGAGGAAATTTCGTCTTTTTTACAATGGAATATTAAAACCATTTCAAATTTTTTCAAAATTGAATTTAAAAGCAACGGGTAGGAAAGGTCTGAAATTTTTGAAGCAAAGTTAGCTACCCGTGTTCACAGGCCACCTAGAATCACCATCATGTCCAGTTGGACGAAACCGTCTTAAGTTGAACTGCTTCGAAACTCAACGTAAAGACCTGACCTTTACGAAAAAATTCAAAAACTGGGTAATGAGCTCCATTGAACTGGAAGTTCGGTACGGCAGAATACGGAAATGCATGTATTATTCGGAATAGTTTGTAGCTTGCAGTGATTTTTTATTTAGCAGAATTCATTGGTGCAATGATTAGAGAAGCCGTGCAATAGGAATCTAATAACTGGATTTATCACGTCCTCAGCGAACCAAGCTCCCCAACCCTCTAGACTCGGAACAAATCAGCCACTGCCTGTGTAAAGATTTGAGAAAACTCTAATGGAGATATTCTACTAGGATTACAGAGAATATGAACTCAATCAGCATTCAGAGACAATAAAGGAGAAACGAATCGTATGACTGCTGAGATTCGCACAATACCTGTGATTGGATCATGGAGATAAATAAAAGACGTAAAGCTCATTATAAACTATGTATCATATGCTATATATATATATATATATATATGTCGATAATTTACTGAAAATATCGACTTTAGAACGAAAGTTTATAAGAATACGTATACAATTTTGTTTTAATTATCCCTCTGCTTTATCTGATTTTGCTTCTAACTTTTATGAATTAAATTTTGTTCCTACCATGTTTTCCTTTTCTTGGTTTACTTCAAGCTTGCTGCATGGTTGTCTTTTTGGTTCTTCTTTTCCTTTGCCTTAAAATAACCCTACTAAATTATCTCTGGTGCCGCTCCCTCTTTATTAGCCTAGATATCGTCTCATTTTATAAGTACTTTGGTCTAGTTCCCAAGTCCTTTACCATAAAAATCATACTACGGGCCTCTCTTCGATGCAAACAGACACCATGCACGCGCAGTCGCGCAGTTGAAGAAGTGCAAGTCGAAGAAATCTTGTTGTGTTCAGTATTTGAAGGATTCCCTTTGGAGAAGAATAGTGGGTTCTGAAGGAAGCGAACCCGCCGAAACGTCAGCTATTGTATCCTAATAAATTCTATAATAACAACCTTGTGTCTGCTTATTGAAGAAAAACACAGTTTCATAGAATTTATAGAGGTCGCGTGTGGCGAAGTGGTCGGAGGCGCCCTGTAACACACCGTCCATAGCTTACCAGGTCTTCCATCATTTCGGGGTCGACAAATTAATACCAGACTTATCTGGGAAGATAGCAGCACTCGCTCGATACATCGGTAGGCCACCACAAGCCATTGTAAAAGCCAGATATGTATTCAATAACCTCCAAACGATGCTTAATGAAATCGAATACATGGCGCATCCTTCAGGGATTGATCAACGCCGCCAGCTTTATCCTTTATCTTTTTATAGAATTGATACAGTAATGTGTGTTTGTAAGTGTTATCGTTTTGAGTATAATCCTGCAACTAGCCACAACATTAAACAAACAACTACACATAATTTTAAGGCGCAATGTGGTGAAGTACGAAAGTATTCTAGATATTAAGTGGTTAGGTAGCAAACTGCACCTGCTGCTGATATCCTATTCTTATTTCCTATCAGTCCGTTAACGACATACTGTGTACGTCGACCAATGTCTTTCCTTATCTTGCTGTAGGTGAGATCGCACACATTTATAGTCGTCGTTCATTTGCCATTCGTAGATGAGTCGAAAGACGAAATTATTGCTGATCTTTGATTCTAATTCTAATTCGGTCACGAAGGAGGTTAGTCAACACTTCGATGTCTAGTTTTACATTATACATTTTAATAAGTGTGTGCTCATAAATCAGCTAATTCAGTGGCTGTTTCGGTTAGCTTCTTGTCCAGATGGGCATGCAAAACATTTGGCTGATGTGTTCGTCGGCTAGCGACAGCCTGAATCAATGTTGTCGTCATCAAACGTTCTTCTGTCTACGCATTGATCTAATATGAGTAGAAGATTAATTTCGTTCACAACATATGTTTATCATAATGAAAACTGGGACATCATTAACAGTTGATTTGACTCACGTGTAATTCCAGTGTCATATATGATACATAATACATTTTAATAGCACCGTAGTATTTATAAATAAAGCCCCCTGCAGCTTGTCTTTCTATTGAATAGAATAAACATCCTCAACGTTAATCAAAGAAATTTTGTTATCTTTCATGGAAATGAGTTCATAGTCATGCGTGTGCTTCTTTCAGTTCCACATCTCTGAGAAACTTACACACCTGGAATCCTAATTTATTGCTATCATAACAGTTCCAAATCCCTAAATCATTTCATCTATTTCATGTCTTTCCCGATTTGAAAGGTCGTGATTTATGAACTCAACTTGTGATCTTTTTCTGACTGCTCATATTCATAATGTGAGCTATTCTTCGAAGAAAAAAATCACCCGGATCTTTGAAATTATATTTGCTTTTAAGTCAAAAACTTAGATCGAAAAGAAGCGAACACGGTATTCCGAGGGCATGAACGGAATTTCTCATCCTATTCATGCTGAAATTCCGATGCATACTCGAGTGTATGGAGACTAAGGCGTTTATTTGAAATGACGTCATGAAATTAATATTTTCAGATATGTGCCTTTTACGGCATGTGCTAATTTGCTCCGCTGCTTTCAATTTGCTAACTTTTTTGACTGGTAAGTTCTTTTGTTTTATGCATCATTTACAGTTTTTGAGCAGCTCAACAATTATAAAAGAGTAATTATTCGTTCTTAAGGCCTTTTTCTTGGAATCCTTCGTGAGGATTTGTTGATTTTATCATTGATACTCACTATCGTTGGTTTGCTGGGAATGCTGCTTTTTGCTATTACATGGTTCATTCGCCCGAAGGTCGCCGGCTATCTCATTTCGAATTTTCTTTCTTTTATTTCTTTTTTTTTTCTTAATCATGCTAGTGCTGTGCATGTTGTTTTATGTCCTAACGACTTTTATCTACTGTACTTTCAGGTGATACATCGCCCTATATATTTTGTTAAGCACTGGAAAGAGGGAGAACTTAACAAGGATGCGACTATCAATCCAGATATAACTGAAGCAATTATGAAGAACATAAGAGGAATACCGTTCCTAATACAAGTGTGGTCCATTTAGGCTTAAATTTCGCGCACAGTTATATTTTCTTTTGTTCTATTCTTTCAGCTCATTCTATTTCCACGCATCACGACATCTAAGCCTGGTTTGTAAGCCACGGCCTCAATTTCTCTCCTACGTTTTTTTCTCTTACTTCGGGTTCTATTTCTGTCGTTCTCCTTTTTCTTGAGAACGAGCAAGTATAATCGGATGCTTCTCTTTGTATTGAGTTAGGACAATGGAAGCAACTAACTGATGAAGGTCGGCTTCGTCGACAGCACTGCTACAGCATAAATTGAGGAATGTTAGAGTGCTCCTAAAGAAAAGTGACGTTGTCAGTGCTCACCAGTTTCACTTCCCTTTCAGAGAACAGCGGTGAATCTCAGGAAAAAGCATTTTTGCAAGCGAAGAGATAGGAAATATGAGCCGCTTGCCAAGTCCCATTTCTTCCTTCCTATTCACGAATACAAGATATCAAGGCTCATATTAAGGCTAGACTCTTCGAAGGAAAAAGAAACTAATTAATTTCTATATAGTTGCCAATATAGCAAAAAACTTTTTTGTTTTTCTTTAAAAGTGCTAGGAAATAACAAATTAGAAACTGTGAATAGGTTAATTCTCACATTTATTTCTAGCAGCGTAACATCGCCGTAACGTTGTTCTTATAGGCTATTCAGTATTCGATGGAGGCGACATACTATCGTGATGTACTCAGCGAAATGGGAGAGGGTGTTGTTCGTACTTCAGTGATTCATACCGCTCCTGCTTGTACAAGTATTCTTGACTCAGAAAGTGATGATGAAGCGAAAAATGTGACATTCACTCCAAGGCATGTTATATACCTGTGTTATTAGCTAATTTTTTATCTCTTATTTTCGGTACTACTAGGACTGTTTTGTTATTCGTCGGGAGAGGAATTACTACTCCACTGATCAATTAGCACATGAAATAAAACCTGTACTAGTAAGCTTCTGCCTACTTCCAGGCATTCAGCAGAAGAACAGTGGCATCCCATTGGTGAATCCTGGCGCAACGAACAACTTCGTTTATCGCTTGAAAGAGGGAGCACTAATCTTCTTGTTAGTGATATATAACGACTTCTAGTCAACGAGCACAGTGTGATTTTCTGATATGAAAACTGAAGCAAAACACGCCACTTGTACCTTTCAAATTAAAGTTCAAAGATGATGAGTGGGATGAGGAGGAGGTTCCTCATTATAAAATGTTGCTTCTCTTCATCATAGCCAAAAATCTTTTGCCATTGGTCTATGAAATGAAACATATTTCGGCAAGAAATGCTTACTTGTGTTTCACTCTCATTTTCGTCTTCAAAGTCACAATTTCCACTTTTAATAGATCTTAATGATATCACCAATAACTAGTTAAGCATAGCACTTAATAATTCTTGGAACTGTTACTTATATTTTTTCAACTAAGGTTTTTCCTTATTGCGAGTCCTCTCCACATGGCGAGAGAGGATATGAAGCTGTCGAACATGATTTTTCTCGAATCGAAAGCATTAAAAGAAATCACGGGTTTGTTGATGATGATTTGCTGTCTTTAGTTCTGTTTTCTTTTTGCTCTTGTGGTAAGTTTGCCACTGAGAGTGTTTTGACTTCTTTTCCAGACATCGTCGTGGGAACTTGGAAAATCGTCAACTGCAAGTTCGATGCATAGGCATGTCGGCTTCATTCATTGAGCGCTTCAACAATTCATTCCGGAAGTCACCTTACCATTGTTAATCGTGTGACGTGTATGCATGTCCTTCCTTCATCCGAATGGAATATCATCTGAAGTCATTCTAATCAAAGACTGACTTAATCGGAAATCAATAAAGTCTCTTCATTGCCTCTATATGTATTATATAGCTTTAACCTCTAACGCTTCCAATTTCCTCACGATAGCTATTCGATAGATAATTTACAACATTCAACAACACTTTTTGTTACGTTCAATGATGTTCGTCTCTTGTGAGACGTTCAATTTTTCATAGTCACTGTGTTCATATCTTTCCAGTTGTATGCTTATTTACGGGATTTTACTACTTTATATTATTGATTTCTTCTTGAAGGCAACAACATATTAACATTCGCCATTGTCTTTTTTCAGAACGTTACTATATCGGTTCATTTATCCTAGATAAATTTTGCGTTGCACTACAGTGCTAAGGTTTGAACACTGGTTGCCTATATGCCTTCACAAGAGATGATTGAACAGCGGCGAATCGATTAGAAGTATTGTGACCGGCACGACATAGGAAGACGGGCCATATAAATCGTCGTTTAGAGTAGGAGAAAATCCGACTTCTAATAGGAATACGTGCTTAAAACAACAATGGCGAATAACACTTCAGCAGGCATTAGGCTCTTCTCACAGTCGAAAGTATCCGAAAAAATCACAACGAAGTACTCAAATACACTCAATACACTGAGAACACCTTGTTTCTTTCAATCGCTAACCTTTCGCTCACAGACCCCTCAAATTGCAGGGCAATTTCTGCGATTTTTGAAAAACACAAAACTAATTGCATGTGAAGATTGCAAGTTGTTTTATGAAAATTTCCTTTTTAGTTGTTCATAGTCATTCGACGTTCAATCACAATGAATTGATGGTATCTGGCCGGGATGATTTGCGCACAACATGATGGCACATATGATAACTTTCCGGATGCACTGGATTTTCCCACTTCACGTTAATCTCCCTCGGTGTTCCTTTGGAAGCAAAATCGCTTAGTTCCTCTTCCTTCTTGACGTCTCGGTGTAACCTTTTCAGATGATACGTTCTAGCTTACATTTGGATTCGTCGTTTCATTAGGCTACTTTTGGTTAAATGAGTAGGCATAAATTTGTCTTCACTAAATAATTTATAGGTATATAAAATAAGAGGCATTAACTCTATAAAGTATTCAAATCATTTTTCAAAATCTGCCAAAATTTTTGACAACTATATTTATAGATGAAGTGGGTCTTTTTCATTTCCTTCGTCCATGCATGTGTCGCTTTGTCCCGGTATTCCATAGACAACGAGATCGTTGGTGAACCAACGGTGAGTTCCTTAGAAGCATTTGACGCCGTAGGAAGTACAACTGCTGTCACAAAGAAAGTAGAAGTCTGCATGCAAAGCCTAAAATATTCTGAAAAGGTCTTTTCACATAAAGCTTTATAGAAGACCCGAGACCTACAGCGTCACATAATGTGCATGCGATTTCTGTCCAACACCATAGGAGCGCGGGATTATTTAAGCGCTTATTTCTGTAAAAAAAAGGTAACCGTGCAGTTGAAGTGAAATGTAAAAAGTCAATGAATATCCAAACGAAGTGAGAAAATAGTAGCCAAGCAAGCAATCAAGTCCTGTTCGAGCAATTTCGAAGTGTTTCAAACAACTTCTTTGCTCAGAATTTCCAAACATTACCCGCTAAGGGGGCTTACATCACATGCAGCTCGTATCACAGCATATATCTCAAAAACGAAATACACCAATAAATCAGTTTAAAAGAGCAGAATAACTCATGGGCAAGTCTCAATTTCCGACCACACAGAAGGAGAAGATGCTTGAGGCAACCATTCGATTCACACATTCTACTGGCCGCATCGGAGAACGTTGAAATGAAATGATATCCCCACTGAAAGGGTAACCGCCTAAAAGTGTCAAAACCAAGGATAAGCACCCCATCGATCGTGCATAAGGAAGATAGTAAAAAGTTATTTCCTATAGCTCTTATAAGAATACTTACTTACTCACTTACTTACTTTGATACTTGGAGGGTCCGCCTTCACGAAATGTGCGGACCCCAGCACATATGCCATTCGTTCCTTTCGCTCGAAATCGTAGTCCATGGTGGCGGTCTTGTTCGAGTATGGTAGCGCTTGCGAGTCTCATATCGTGATCTGTAAAACAACTGCAGCTGCGGGTACAGTTGATTAACTTTGTTCACGAACACGTCCGCCCGTGTTGGTGGTCGTCCCATGGGACATTTGCATTCTCTTGGAGTCCACTCTACTGTTGTTTTCATCCAACTGTCGTCTGTTTTTCTCGTTATGTGACCAGCCCATCTATGTTTCGCTGTCAACGTATATTCTCCTGGATCTCGAAGATGTGATAGATTTCGAAGGTCAGAGCTTCGCATTCCAGCTACATATTGAGAATGCCGGTTATATTTCAGAAAACAACGCTCAAGCGCTCTGTGAGTAGCTCGAGGCATTCTTGAAGTTGTTGAAGTATCGACCCACGTCTCTGCAGCATAACAGAGCACTGGGAGGACCGTAGAATCAAGGAGATGAGCGCGTATTTTCGGGTCCTTCAGTTGGTCGGTGGCTTCTTTGAGAGAACCGAATGTGGCCCAAGCTTCTCTCCTTCTTCTATTCAGTTCTTCCTTTACAATGTTTTTCATGTTCACTGATCGCCTAAGGTAGACGTACGAGGTGGTTTCTGCACTGAGAGAGCCATCCATTTCAATTTTTTCGCCTTCGCACCATAGGTTTTTCATGAACGGAGTCTCCTTCCGATTTAAGCGAAGACAGATTTTTTTCCCGCTTCGTTGAGCTCGTTGATCATACGTACGTTATAATGGCCTTTATTTCAACTAATAATTTTACTTCCTTGATAGAAGCTGTTATCAGCAGCCAACAGACTTTACTGACTTTCTTATGAAGGAGGCTAAGAAGGTAACCTGAAGACAGATGTAATTCAACCATTTTCGTCATCCAGCTATAATGTATCTAATCCACTTGAAGATTGAAACACACTTATATTCTGATTAAGAATACGAAATGACCCTTTATCTTGTAACAATTTTAAAGACGATCAGATCTTCGACATGAAACGCGTAGTACCACTATTTTGAATCAGAATTAGTGGAAGTGGCAAAAATCATTTTCTAGAAGCATTAATGAAACGGTTAGGGATTAGGAACGAAGGAAATACTAAACGTGAAAAATTTGGGGTATACCTAGATGCGTTCCACATATTTTTTTTCCTTTTGCCCATTCACCAGTCTGATGAACTGGCTCTGACACAGTTATCGGATAGTACTGAATCTGAAACTCCTCCTGCCTAACTCATCAAGAAATAGTCTCACGAAGTTTCGGTACTAGCGATCAAGGAAGAGATCTCAACAAGATTTTTACGACCTCCAGTATTAAAACATACCCTGAAATCAATATAAGAAAAATACTATTCCAAACCTGGTTAACAAATGTTAGAGCTAACATCAACGACGAGATTTCGTCCAACGGCTTCTCATTTTCGTCGACGATTAGGTGGCAGGATATGGACTTTACAGTATCATAAGAAATCTAATTCCAAGAGCACAACGACAAGCAATGAGCTGTCTTTTCGATAAAGAATAGCACATGTATCAATCACTGCGATTAATGTAAATTTTAGGAGGAGGGAATGGGGAATTTACCTTTCCTTGTACAACTGTGCGCTAAGCAACACAGAGACATCGCTCAAGCGCTCTATGAGTAGTGCGAAGCATTCTTGACGTAGTTGAAGTATCAACCCACGTCTTTGCAGCATAACAGAGCGCTGGGAGGACCATAGAATCGAAGAGATGAGCGCGGATTTTCGAGTCCTTCGAGCTGGTCGGTGGCTTCTTTGAGAGGCCCGAATGCGCCCGAAGCTGCTCTCCTTCTTATATTCAGTTCCTTCTTCATGTTGTTTTCCATGTTCACTGATCGCCTAAGGTGCAAATGGGTAAGACGTACGAGATGGTCTCTGCATTGAGAGAGCCATCCAATTCAGTTTTTTCGCCTTCGCACCGTAGGTTTTCGTGAACTGGGTCCTCTTTCGGTTTATGCGAAGTTCGATCTTTTACCCCGCTTCGTTGAGCTCGTTGATCATCAGTTCTGTTTCGCTAGTACTTCTTGAGAAGACGACGATGTCGTTGGCAAAACGAAGGTTTGATAGGAATTTTCCATCAATACGTATGCCTTTCTCATCCCAAACGAGTGACTTCATTGTCTACTACAGTGCGGCACTGAACAACGTTGACTACATTTTGTCGCCCTGTCAAGCCTCTTTTCCTATGGGTATTGTAAGAGGTTGATGGAAAAGCTGTATTTTCGTAGCGCAGTTCCGACAATAGTCAGACAAACTTCTTATGTAGTACGGGTCCACTCTTTCGTCGACGAGCGTTGATAGGATTGCATTCTTTTCGGCACTGTTAAACGCTTTCCCATAGTCGGCAAAGGTTAGGACTAGAGGCAACTGGTATACCCGACAAGCTTCGAAGACCCTGGACACGGTTTGGGTGTGATTCAAGCGGCAAAATCCTTTTCGAAATCTTGCTTGCTCGACTGGTTGCGCCTCATAAAATGTCCTTGGCATGCGCGAGAAGATAATCTTCGTGAAGAGCTTGTAGAGTACACTTAATAGGCATATGGGACGATAGTTGTGAAAATCCCTTCGGTCTCCCATCTTGGGCAGGGTGACCGTGCGCGGCGTCCTCCACTGGTCTAGGATTTCTTTCTTTAGAAGGTAGTCTGTCATATGATCTACGAGAAATAAATGTAAATTGTGGCTTCCAGCTCTAAAGAAATCGGCAGTGATATTATCGGGTCCTGGATCTGTGCCTCTTTTCATGCTTTCTATCGCAACTCGAACCTCCGACGGAAGAATTCCAGGTGGTTTTTTTCCAGCGCGGATATTAGGGCCCGAGACGGGGATTGTGGGACGGAAAAGGTTGGTGTAGAACGTTTCTGCTATTAAGACCATGTTATGGCGAAAAGTTTTGACGATCCCATCTTCGTTCATCAGGGCTGACAGTGGAACATTGTAATCACTCAAGTCCCAACGGCATTTTTTCAGCTTACTTCTTTTCTCTGCTGCTTCCAGTATTTTTTTCTGCTTGCACCGTTGTATATCTCCGTGCAAAGCTCTTCTGCAGGTGGCATTTATTACCAGCCATGTTAACGCGTTGTGGTAGGGACAAGCTTTAGTTTTCTTCTCTTTTCGAGCAACTCCTTAGTAGTGATGGAGATGCGATCCGATCCTCTTGAGGAACTGAGGCAAATTCGGCACAGCTTTTCAATCCTTCGACAAGCAGCTCTTAGTCTTCAGTCGGGTCTTCTTTAATCTGCCAGTCACGTTTGGACAGGACTTCGTTTATAATGTTCTCGTCGTATACGGCTAAACTGTTTTCTCGTGGTCGATGAAGAGGGTTTTTTTCCAGCTTGGGGCTGAATCGAATCTTCGCGCAAAGAAGGTGGTGATTGGAACCAGTACAGAATGAACTAGCATTAAAGTTCTAGCATTAAAGTTTCCAACAACAATTTTATGACATGCTTTATCATTGCGGATGACTTCCTCCAACTGATAGTAGAACGCATTTAATTCGTACTCATCAGCTGCGTCGGTCGGTGAATAGCAATAGTTGATGACAGTGATTTTCTTATGATGCGACAGTTAAAGACAGAGGACAGCTATGCGAGAAGAAAGGAGTCGACGAGATGGACAATGGACTGGTGAAGGAAAAACCCTACGCGACTGACATTTCGTGACGGGACCTTTTCTCCGCGGATCACAAGAGTCTCGTTGTTTAGTTGTCGTATGTCGGTCTTCTTGATTATTGTTTCTTGTAATGCGATAACATGAAATTTAATGCGATCTCCGGCTAAAAGAAGGTGGTGAGGATAGGCATCTTTGGAGAGTGCTCTGGGATTATACCTCCATAGTAAAAAACAATCTTCATGGCGTGTCGTGCGTGTGTTCTCCAGATCCGGTTCCAATGATGTCCTGCGTAACCCGAGATTTTCTAGCCTCTCATCGGTCGTCTGACCGCGTGACGTCATATACGGGAACACCCATTGTGCGAGGTACTGAGGCTGGCCTATTCCTGGTCGTGCAACTTGGTCCTTCCTAGAGTCCTGACGTAACCATGCAAGGGCGTATCCAGGTCTTCACCACGATGTTGATCAGAGGGAGATGTGTTTTCGGCGACGAATCCTTCGCTCGATCTTCCTATTAGCTGATTCGGAAAGATGTTTAAACCGAAGTCAGAAACGAAAGCAGGAATGTAAAAGTGACCGACCGCTCAAGGACGATGTAGATGCCAAATGCCTTATAAGAGTACAACAATTAAATTCTATTTTGGAGGCTGTTTTATTTTGAATTTGCTTTATTAAATTTTGGGAAGTTTTGGAGTGGTCAAAAAAATCTTTGTTTGCCTGGCATATTCAAAACGTTCGTGAACGAAAGAAGCAGCAGGATTTATCATTCAAAAACGGGCTTACACTAAATAAAAGTCTTCATATTAGTTGAACAGTACGTATATCAAACTCTACCGCGCTGCCAAGCAGGACTCCATATATTGCCTCAGTATGACATAGGCAGTCATACCTATACCTCCCGTAAATAAAGTTACAATAATATAGTAGCAAGAAAAACACATGTACAGCTACACAAGTGCTTAAGGATTATGAAATCAACAGCCTATTTTTCTGGGCGAAATTTCTTTTTTTGCTGTCATTACTTAAAAGAATTAATGACAAAGCTCTGGGCTGATCAATCCCTGAAGAATGCACCAAGCATTCGACTTCATTAAGCGTTGTTTAGAGATGACTGAACGCATGTCTAGCCCACACTGTTTCACAGTGGCCTATCGATGTAACGAGTCAGTGCCGCCATCCTCCTAGACAGTTCTGGTGCCAACTTGCCGACCTCAGAAGAGTAGAGGCTTGGTGATTCCTAAACGCCGGTTCGAGCACATTTATTGCAGGATACCAGAGTGCCTGAGAGGACCCCTCTAACCACTGCACTGCAAGCACCCTTACCACAGAACTGTAGCGCTATTTGGCATTCGCTTTCCGGTTGTGTTAGCGTATAGGCAGACAGCACTCTGCAAGTCAATCTTATCAAAACCCTGAAATCCAGTGCTGAGGAGGATGATAGGTGGTTAGTAGTCGTCTCCAGCAAATAATCTCCTCTACTCTCAGAAAAACTGCCTAGCTTCGTTTTAAGTCACATCATCTAGTCTTACGGTGAAACTCGCAGAGTCCAATTTGTATCAAGTTCCAAAATCAGAAAAAAGAAGATGAATTTCATTTCCGCAAACCCGCAAGTGCCTCAAGTACGGCGGGGCCGGAACAAGTTTGGAAACACTTTCAGTATGTCGGGATCATTTTAGAGGGTTAAATTTGAACGGGCAACACTAAGAATCTATACTTGCTTCTGAGAGAAACTGAAGAAGCACCCTAAGAAGAAGTAGATTATCCGAAACGAAAAAGCACCTTGTGACATCGGAGAATAAGCGTTTATCGGAGCATAATATATCTGAGGGAATCTTCTTAAGGCGGTGTTGTCGTTTAAGTTAAAACGAGTTAACCATAGCCATCAATTCCACCGACCAATTAACGACTCCATTCGGTCTAATGCCTATGGCTCAGAAGATGTGGAACAACATCCGCCTTGAAATCATTGCTGTCTACCACCTCTTACGTAAACTATAACCAACCGGCGTTGAATAATTCCAAGTGGACATAGAAAAACTCTAAGCAGAGGCTTATATCTTTTATAACTTCATTATTTGCGACTTGAGCGCTTGAATGAACGATTGACTCCTTAAAAACTTCGAATAAGAAAAAATTTTTCTTTCTCAGAAAGGAAAGAAACGTGTAAAGATGAACAGTCGACGTTTCAGAAGTACTACAAGATCGAATTTGTTCAAATTCCAAGCTGGATTTATAGAAGATATGTTATGGACAATATCAGTAATGAATATGAAAGGCTTTCTCAGCATTTTCAAGATAGTACAAAAGTCCCCAGTGCTCGAATGTCACAACGTGAAGCCAGCTTCCCGAATAGGAGAAGTTTTTAAGAAGGCGGAAGCGACATAAGCACTCTTTCAACCTGCTGAGAATAAAGAAGTCATTTGTATTGCTTCGAGAACTTCGCTAGGAGCGAGATTAAAAAGTTTGCTCTCAAATAGCACATGAACCTCATAGTGACTTCCTACAGAAGAACACTAGAGAAGATGACCCACGAATCATTTTCAGATGTTTTCGACAGCCATGCCCGCCTGTCTTGATTTTAGATGCGACATGATAGTCATGTCGACATCCTCCATTATGATGTTCGTTATATTCTATTGTCTTGAAGAAAACGATTCAGCATATGGTCTTGCAGGATTCTAGCCGGACACCTAAAGAATCCACCTGCCTTTCAAAATACTAAGGACTTGATACTTGAATGGCCCGCACTCAATGGTTGTGTCGGCCTCGGCATAATCTCCATTTTTCGGAGATTTGCTGGCTAAGCCATTGTGGTTCTCTGGAATCGCGACATCATCCCGGCCAAAGTCTGCCTCAGGTCTTCACCACCACGGGCAGTCGCAACCTTTGTGGATCAGAGGGTGATTTGCCACCACTGGACTTTGATACCAGGGCGGCGGTGCATCCTGGTATTGGTTTACTCTTAGCTAGGCTCCCTGATGGAAACGCCGGACTCCTTCTCAGCTTGGGAGACCCTACCAGGAAATGAATTCCTCCGCTGTACATCGCAGTCCGACATCCAGGAACACCCCCTAGCTGCGATGAGGCGGTAAACTGTTTTGAAGCCTTTCAAAATGTAACGTTCCAAATCAGTATATGGTGAACGAAAACGCATTGCTGTGTAAAAATGATATCTGTAATATATGAGACGATGCACAATCGTTCAATCTGCTTCTGTCTGTCGTTTACCAGGTCTTTACTGGACACACCCTTAACGACTAACAGAGTGGCAGCCATACGACAATCCAACAATCGTGGTTTTGAAAAGGTGTTTGCATCAGAGGCCAAGGCTACAAAAGATCGCTTTGCCTCAATAGCGACAACGAGAGAGAAGTGATTGAAAGAATAAATGATATTGCTTTATTTCTTCTTCGTTCATCGACTTTAAAAATTCGTTTAACTCCGATGAGTCCGAAATACTCAAGGGAACTTTGGATTGTTCGTCAAACAGTACTAATTTGCTAAAATCATTTACGGTCATTCTTGAGTGAGTCACATTAAAAATTAAGTGGGATAGCATGAAAGCTTAATTAGATGTTTGACAGCACACCATCATCTCCTTTGCTGATAATATCATCTTGTAAAGCCACTCACGAGCCAGATAAAACGAATAGTGGTTGATTTCGGTGCACAGCAGAAGAAATTTCTCCGAATCCCAGGAACATGTGGACTTGAGTCGAAAAGTGAAGCCGGAAAGAGAAAGGAGAGCGAATGATTTGGGAAGCTTCTAGTAGCTTATAAAGTTTTTTTTCTGCAATAGAAAGTCGATCCTGGGAACTAGTACAAAATATATCAGCTTCAAATAGCTAAGAAGATATAGTAGGAGGAACAAAACACGACTCCTTGATCACATTTCTGACCCTAGGATTCTTGCGTTAATCTACGGCTCAGAAAGCTGGCCAATATGTAGAGTAGGTGAAAGTTCACCCATCCTTATCGATTCCGCTATCGCGATGTGATGCTAAGAATATTTCGTGTCAAGTGAAATCAGAGAGAATCCGGAATTTCGACCTAAACTAAAGATTAAAATCTGAGACGCGTCCGTATACTTCGAGATGTCCAAAATCAGGTGTGCTCTACTTATTGTACAGTATGTATTTATTGTTTTAGTTTCCAACACTAACCTCTTGTTAATCTCTAAATTGATAAACGAGAAGGGTTGATATGAGGAGTTCGACACATATACGATCGTAGGTACTGGTACCAAAGATTGGAAAAGAAGACGTGATTACCACGAATGAACTAGTCACCTCATTAAGTTTTATTTTCCATCCCTATTCGTTGGTTAAGATAATGTAGTAAACTATTGCTAGAACATGACAATGAGGTGAACATAAATCATGAATAATTATGCACTTAAAAGTGACTTATTAACTCACTTCATCTTTGGTTAACAATGGCCATTCGTGAATGAACGTCAAATCAGAGAAGACCAAATCGAACGATTAACTACTTTCTATTTCTTTCTTTTCAAGTATTGAAGAAGGTTATTTTCTGGTCAAAATAGCAAAATCAGCAAAATATTTTAAAGCTTACGGGAACTAAAAATTCACTGGGTCTAAACTGTACGGGAGTGTAAACTAACTGTAAAAGTTAACTAAACAGTTGAAAAAAAAACTGAAACAGTTGTTGATAAAGTCGAATAGTTTAGGTGGACTGTGAGGATTCTGTAGTTGGTTTAACGTTTAAAACGAAGAAACCGTTTTCTGGAAGAGTTTACGTACACGGTATGGCTGGTGATGAGAAATGTAGCAGGGCTTTCGTTGACAATCGTAATCAAAGCAGGTGAACGCGACGAAAGTTTTCATTTAAAGTGAAAGAAAAGAAGGAATGAAGAAATGCATGAAGACGTGAAAGAAGAGGCGACAGAGATTGTCGGCCAGTCTTCTTCTAAAAAAAAGTGCGAGGAGAACATGTTTATGAATCTTCGGAGTTTCTTATTAGCAATTTAGGCTCTCGTTAAGCTTTAAAAATGGTGATTGCACTATGCAACGACAGCGCCTCTCAGGAAAGATCCAGGTGAACACGCTTTCATTAGTACTTCATATAACCCAGAACTTACCTTTAAAGACATTTTCTGATTTACTTGAGTTAACCGCCCTGAAGTACTACATTTGAAACCATCTTACAAGAGCTGGTTTTATTCACACATATTTTCACCGTTGTTGGGAAAGCTCGATAAAACCGCAAGAAGAAAATTTTATTCAAACCAAGCTGTTAAACAACCCCTGTAAGCTCGTGTTATGGTGTTTCAACGTAATTAAAAATTCTATGCTGGAAATTCGTTATATAATGTCTAAAAATTTAGGGTGGTTAACGGCTTAACTTTTCCCGGATTGAAAAATACGAACAAAACCCTTCAAAACATAGTTGTTATTTTCTTTACTGCAATGACAGTTTTGTTGTGAAAAAGATAAGATTTTCGAAGGTTATTTGATACTTCACTAGGGTTTGTTGTCGTCGTTGATAGTGGTTGTGTCGTTCCATGGTACATTTGTCACTAAAGCCGATCGAGCCTACAAATGTATTTGCTTTTTCAGAAGCCATAAAACTCTAACAAACTCAATCGGTGCGTGAGCCTTTCAAGATTTTCCTTTCTCTTTTTTGTTTTTGTAAATTTGCAAATAAATAAAGTTTTGTAATAATATGAAGTCCATCCTTTTAAATTTACCGATTTTTGTTGGATGCGCGTTAACTACTATCATCCTAATGGTTCTACACAATATTTTCCAGAAATGTCACCTATTGGAACGACGGAGTTACTGAACACTCTACCTACCCCAACATGCACATACTCAATCCATACTGAATCCCCTGATGGTCCCATTTTGATGTAAGGAAATTTGTGCATTTTGGTGCTTATTAAATATGAGCTAATAGGAGCAAAACAAATCAGAAAGGCAAAGTAAGAGGCTCAGTGGTGTAGTGGGTCAGGAGTAATCCTCCGGAAATGGTAATCACGGGTTCGAATCTGTCCTGTCATCCAAGCTTCGCAATTACCTCATCATTATTCCTCTTTTTAGTTACCATCTTCTTGTTCGCTTCTAGGCTAGGAACAGTTGGTGAAAAGATCTATCATGTTTGGCAGTGTGATGCTAGCGTCACGGATTTCCTTGTTCACAGCTGCACCGTTGGTGATGGGCGCGGTGAAAAAGTTGATCTCGTAAGATCTTCTTGAAGTGCTCTTTTTTATTTGCTTATTTCCATAATGGTTTTTACGCTGTTTGTTGTCCTGTAGCTTAAGAAGTACGTTTCAAGTATTTTAGATTGACATCGACGGATGTGCTATCGATCCTGCCATTCAACCAGACGTATCCTATGCGGATCGGAACAGAGTTGGCCCTGCTCATCTCTATTTCATTTGCTACGCGATATATTCCATTGATGTGAACCAAATAAAACTGTTCATAAAAGCAGAAAAAAATTTCAATGATTTGTGAAATTCATTGAGCTCTTAGATTTAAAGTTTTCATTTATTCGAAATCATGTTAACGGTATCTGTGGAAAATAATATTTACCATAGTTAAGGCTGTTGTGGAGGTGTTCGGCTACAAATTCAGTGACGCTACTGTTCTTAATTACGAGTGTGTTCTGAAAGTGTGCCGATCGCCTATGGAATGCGAGAATCTTATTCCCCCGAAATGTGACCGGAACAAAACCGAAAATCTCCTTTCCAGTGATAGACTGAGAAAAATACGAGCGATTGGTAAATGTTTCACTTTTCATAATCTTTGTAGTTAACGGAACACTGAAATTTACAGCTGAAGAGGCACTTCGTAGACCGGGGATGGTTGAAGTGGCCGCCACGTTAACTATGGAGGAGCGCATGAATATGAACACAGTGACGTCGGGAGGTAATATTCCAGCTCTGGAGCTTAAACAGGTGAGCAGGTTAAAAAATGAGAAAATCTTTTGTTTTACTTTAACATTTGGTTCGTTTTTCAGCATAAGGCGAGAACGTCTGCGTTTTCTCAAAACATTTGTATTCCCACCCTAGGAATTTTGCTCACTGCCACTTTACTAGCGTTTACAATCGTTGCATCGATGTTTCTAATATTTTATGTAGCACGTTATCATACATATGTGGTAAATCCGAAGCAGTTCATCCTTTAATAACACTACTTTTGATAGATATGGCTCTCTGTTCGTATTGGGTTCAATAAAATTTTCAGTACTTTCTCCACAATCGTGTTATGCCACGAAATTAGCAGTGACAATCCACAAGGCAACGCCTTTCCTTTTCCATTTTCTGATGATTTCTACTCAATAAATATGGCTCTACCATACGATGATTTCAGAAATAATGAGAGATTTTCTAACAGCATATTTCCTCATACATTAATTAAGCTTTTTGACCCTCCGCAACTGTTTATCTTTCAAAAGCCGTTGAATTCAAATACTCACGCGTCAAGCTGCTACCACAACAGTTTGTGAGATTTCGACTTTGACGATTTTGATACTACTTTTATAGACGCAGGAAGTGAGTACTAAGAGAACCTGAAAAATCACTAATTAGAGTGGCTCACGAAAAAACAAAATATGGCTCTATCTTATTTCTATTACTATTGGAGCAACTGATAGATTGTAGCGGTAATTCGCTGCTTTCTTGAATAAGCAAACGCGAGGTTAATATTACAGAATTTATTAGCATACAATAGCCGACATTTCGGCGGTTTCGCCTTCTCACCTAAACACTTCCATAAACATAGCAGATAACACTTGACAAATAAATTTCTATTCGCATTTAAGAAAGGAACAGCTTTATTTAAACACCCACTGTTTGTTCGTTGTAAGTGTTCCAATTAGTCGGTGGATAGTAGCTGCACAGAATAATACATGGGCGAGGAATGTGCTTGGGTTATCACTGATTCAGCCTAAGGTACGGCACGTGGTTACAAGACACATCTCCTTGCAGACTATTTTTGGATTTTCTCAACTAATCCAAAACGCTTCAACAGTTTTACCCGATCAATACTTAGGCTAACAAAATGCCGGTCCTGGGTAATGAAGCGATTATTCAGGAAAGAAATACAACAGTAAAACGAAAAACTGCGGTTGTTCATTTGAAACTGCTGCCTCTTATGGAAGTGATGAGGTGCTCCAAAAAGACATGCCATTCTCAAACAGTGTCACGAATGATCTGGAAAAATTTTGCTTTTAAAACAAGTACTCTGCAGTAAATGACAATGAATAGTTTACTTTCCTACATTACGTAGATATTTATGCAAAAATGGCAATTCTTTTATCGCACTAAAGAGGCACTCACGACACCATCAATTTTGAGGCTTACTTGATACTTGATAATTCGATGCCTCGTCCTCACTGATTGTGTGGGCTTCGGCATAATCTCCATTCTTCGAAAATTTGCTGGTTAAGCCACTGTGGTTTCCTGGAATCCCAAGGTAAGCCAGGCCAAAGTTTGCCCCAGGTCTTCACCATTACAGGCAGTGGCAGTCTTTGTGGATCAGAGATTTGAGTCTTTGATACCAGGACGGTGGTGAATCATGGTATTGGCTTACTCTTAGCTAGGCTTTCTGACAAAAATGCCTGACTCCTTCTCAGTTTGGGAGAGCCTGCCAGAGGATGAATCTCACGCTGTACATCGCAGTCCGACACCCAGGAAAACCTCCTAGATACGATGAGACGGTAAGACGTTGCAAGCAATGGTAAGACTTACGACAAAATATTACTAAGATTTTGCGTATAGTATGTGGAAGTTAAAAAGAAACGGATATATATAAATTTGTAGGAGAAATAGCCAGTTTAGCAGGACAACTCTGAAATGCAATAACTGTAACCAGACAAAAGCTTTTAAAATTTTTTAAAATTGCTTATCCGAGATGAGACTTTCATACAAATTCCATTGGGCCAACGTTTCGACGTCTTCATCGTCTTCAGAGCCGATGACCTGCTTGGATAGTCCACAGCCATTCGTTTTCTTCATGTGGTTTCGTGGTTTCGTGGTTTCTTCGTTAACGTACCGATTCAAATCCTCTTTAGAGGAGCATCGCTAAAATGAGGCAACCTCATCCGGCAGCGCTCTCTTTTACAGGACGGTTGTTGACCAATTGTCAACTAATAATGGTTCTTTTATTCTAATTTGTTACAGCAGTCATTCTAGAACCGAACGCCACTCTTTTTCCGTTTTTTTACTACTTTATACTTTTTTTAATCCTTACTAAATCTTGCATAGTTCGTCATAAGGCGCTTGTGGCAGTGGTCGGAGGCGCCCCGCAATACACTTGGGATCGATTCCAGTGCCCCTGGTCAACCAAGCATTTCATCCCCACCCGGTAAGCAAGTTGGCACCTGACTTATCTGGGAGGATAGCAACACTGGCTCGATACATCGATAGGCCACCGCGAGTTATTGCGAGTTATATATGCATTCAATCATCTCCAAACGATGTTTGATGAAGTCGAATGCATGGCACATCTTTAAGCGATTGATCAACGCCGAAAGCTTTATGCTTTTCATGTCCACAATCCATCCTGCAGCGTTGATATTAGAATAGCTGCTACAATAGAATAGAATAAAAAATCATTATCAGTCAACAATCAGTCAATATCAGTCAATCCTCCTGTGTAAAAGAGCGCTGGTAGGTGATGGTAGTCTATTTGAGCGGGTATTCCACTGACCACCGCCTCCTTAGTGCAAGATTCCATTAATCGCAGAAGGGAGAAAAGTCGCTAAATTCAAAAAATAAGGCCCTAAAACCAGTACAAATTGGGATTTATTCAATACATTAGTCCGCTGTTGGCAAGATGCCGTTTTCGATAAAATCGACGAAGAATACTACCGGTTCATTCAACATCTTCATGTTAGCGCTCTGAAAGCTGAGAGTTCGAAAGTCACTAAGAGACGTCTGATTCAAAAACTCTCGAGGTGATAAGCTAGCGTGGAATCACACTTTCTGCAGAACCGCGAACTAACGTCCGAACTTGCAAAACAGTGCAGACAGGCGATAAAAGATGATCTTAAACAGAGAAGAGCAGCAGCTGAAGGGGTCGAAGCTGAAGAGGCTGGGAAAAGCATTCGCAAAGCCAACCGAAGCTTTCTCAATTACAGTACCAAGATGATTGCACTCCGATGCCCAGACGGTACAGTTACAGCGTCTAGAAAGGCAATGGCGAAAATCGTTCACGAATACTACTCAGGCTTCTTCGATAGCCACGTCCACTTTTCGTCATATGAAATAAAGTGGATGGATATGTTGTACCACCCGTTCTCCCTTCCTAAATTCGACATGCCATTTGGTTCGTGAAAAATCGAGCAGTATCAGATCTGGACAGGATAAGATCTGAACACTTGAAGAACTGTTCACCAGTCCTAGTAAACAGTCCTCTGCTAGTTGCTAATCTTTGTTGTTATTAGGGTGATGTCATCAGCAAACTGAAGATAGTATAATTGCCGACCATCGATTTCTACTCTCATATTATCCCATTCCAATATTGGCACGACGTTTTGGAGGGTGGAGGTAAATAATTTTGGCGAGATGGTATTCCCTTGCCTAACTCCTCTTTTGACGTCGATGTTAATATCATTGGAGAATGGAAAATATCTTTGTTGTGAAATTTTTCTACAGCTCACGTAGAATCTTTATGTAATGAGTAGGGACTCCTTGACTATCAAGGGCTTCCATATCTGCTTCTACCTCAATTGAATCAGTGGCCTTCTGTAAATCGATGAAAGTGAGATCGAGGGGTCTTTTATACTTTTGCGATATGTGTCGTTTTCTTGTTCAGCAATCGCGAGGTTTTTAAACAGCATACATTTACTTCCATAGAAAAACACAACACAATACAACACTAGCTGACGTTTCGGCAGTATCGCCTTCCTCAGAGCTCGGAAGGGTATACTGATATACAATCTACTAGGCCAAACGCTTCAATAACACTTACACAAAGACGAAAGACTCTTTGGTAATTACACGATCAACAGCTTCTCGAAAAACACACCGCTTTTTCGTGACTTCCAACGGGGAAGTTTAGAACAGCTGATTATAGTCGCATGTGGTTGACAACTGCACCATCCCACATCAAAAATCGATGCGAACATACGGGATCAGGTCGCGTATGACCTCCGGGCATTCATCCCAGCTATTCATTGTAGGGTTTTTGGCAATTATCCAAAAAGCCTCAAGGAGTTTTCGCGCTAGTGTTTTGGACTCCTGTGCAAGGATATTGACTTTTACTTCAAAATCGTCTCCGCTATGCTTTTGTATCCTATGCGTGCCTAGTGGGGTGCTTCGTTTTAGTTTTCGTTTGCCATTTAGGTGTTTTTTTATACGGATACACAAAGGTCTGCCCGTTTCGCCAATACATTCATCTCCGCAATTATTACACGAGATCAGGTATATCGTACCTGAACTCATGCAATCACCGTCCCTGCCGTAAGGGCAAATTACGCAATTTGTTGTTTCACACAGACGGTCATACAGGCGGTTGCGAACTAATTGGCGACGTAGAGTAGCCGGTGGTATTTCAATTATCGCTACCGATTCCTCTAGTCTTGCCCTTCTTAAGCATCGTTTTACAGCTGCGCTTACTTCATCGCTTATAAAAGGCAACATAAACGGGATTTTCTTTTGGTCAAGTGTTTCGCGTGGGCGCGTCGTTCTCCTTGTAAACTTATCTCGTGGGGTTACTATTTCGTAGCCATTGGAGATGGCTATTTGCCGAGCCAAGTCGCACGATTCTTCCTTTAGTTCCCTGGTTGTGCACACAGAGGTGGCTGTTCGAAACATGTTTCTCACAATCGCCCTCTTTGTGTGTGAAGGGTGGGAAGAAAGGAAATAAACAAGGATGTTCTTGTTACTTGGCTTTCGATACCACTTTGTCAGGTAACCGCTACTTGATAGGTTTATTTGGACGTCCAAAAACGGAAGCCAGTTTTCTCTCGGTTTCTCCCAGGTGAACTTTATGTACTCGGACTNTATAAAAGGCAACATAAACGGGATTTTCTTTTGGTCAAGTGTTTCGCGTGGGCGCGTCGTTCTCCTTGTAAACTTATCTCGTGGGGTTACTATTTCGTAGCCATTGGAGATGGCTATTTGCCGAGCCAAGTCGCACGATTCTTCCTTTAGTTCCCTGGTTGTGCACACAGAGGTGGCTGTTCGAAACATGTTTCTCACAATCGCCCTCTTTGTGTGTGAAGGGTGGGAAGAAAGGAAATAAACAAGGATGTTCTTGTTACTTGGCTTTCGATACCACTTTGTCAGGTAACCGCTACTTGATAGGTTTATTTGGACGTCCAAAAACGGAAGCCAGTTTTCTCTCGGTTTCCCCTGGGTGAACTTTATGTACTCGGACTGCTCGTTCAATAATTCAAAGCATTTGTCCATCTCCTCCTGCGTAGAGAGGACGACAAAACAATCATCTACACATCTGCAGTAGAGTAGTGGCCGGAGATCGAGAACAGGGGCTTCTATCTTAGACAGAAACACAATGGCCAGGCTTGGTGCCAATCGCTGTCCCATTGCCAACCCCCTTATTTGCGCGAAATATTTCCCAAACCATCTGAAAATCGAGCAGTTTAGGCATTCCTTTAAGAGAGCCATTAGCTGCTGGATGGACAAGCCATGCATATTTATTCTTCCTTCATGTTCAACAAGAAGTTCGAAGATGGCTTGCATTGCGGAGTCATTCGACACGTTGGTTTACTTTTGCGATACTTCAATAAGCATTGTTATTGTGTAGATGTGTTCTATCGTACTAAATCCTTTTCAAAACTCTGCTTGCTCACATGGCTCTCCTTCTTCCAGTGTTCTGTCAATCCTGTTTACGATGACTTGAGTGAAAAGTTTGTAGACTACATGGAGCAAGCAGATTGGATGACATTTGCCGATATCGTTGAGGTCAACCTTCTCGAAAAATAACACGGTCTTGCTGGTCTTCCACTGAGTAGCGACCTTGCATTCAGACAGGTAACGTGTGAAGAGCCGAGCCAATGTGTTTATAAGGACTGGCGGAAAGATCTTCTGGTGTTCAGTTCTTATCCTACCCGAACATGGTGCTGTTCGATTTCTCACCGGCGAAACGGTATGTCGGATTTCGGAAGGAAGAACTGGTGATACCAGATATCTACTGATTCGTTTCGATCTGATAACTGTGGCTCATATCAAAGAAGGTAACGTTCATGTGTACAGCGGACGCTCAATTCAATTGTTTACAGGTCATTGCTGATAGCATCACTGTTACATGTGTCGTTTGGGAATGTTGCCTTTTCTCGAAGTTAATGAAGTCTTTATCCACGTAATTCTTGATTTTCCCTCAGTGGTTCCCAATTGAAATCGTTTCATGTGACATCACAGCTTCGTTAAAATCAATTACCATTCCTTTCACTCAGTATCGTTATAACCTCTGTAATGTTTCTAATAGTCAAGTAACAATAATTTCTGTCTGGTTGAATTAATTCTTTCAAAGCTAGAAAACTATGTTTTATTTCATAAGTTCAAATTTAGAAGCAGCGATCACGATTTACATGTCATCAGATCATTACCTATAGGAGGGCTCCCGAATGAAAAGTGAGAAGAAGGTTCGAGAGATTTAGTGCTAAAGAAATGAGTTTTCACAAAGAGAAGAACCAACGCGCATCGGTAATTAAGGAACACGGTCTGAAGGCGGCAATCGAATCAAGCCCTATAGAGGCTGCCTAAAAGCTTGCAATAGAACTCATGTTAACACTTTAACATTAAGCGACATCTCTAACCATTTCTCTTCGCGTGCTTCTTCATTGTTTACAATGCATGCATGCTCCCGTTGATTGATACTGTGGAACACAGCCACAGGAATTCTGAGATACAAGCAAAACTCAGAACCTCAGATGGGCTTCGAACCAGAGATTACCCTCACCGGAGCTTGCGTGCTGTCCACCATACCAACAGAAGCCCTCGCTTTACTTTCCATTGTTGTTTGGAGGTCATTGCTCATTGCGCCGATATAGTAAAATTCTGGCTAAGAGAAAGACAAACCGAGTGGCTCGGTTAGTGTGGTGGGTGGCACATGAGTACCCTTAAAGGGTAATCACAGGTTCGAAGGCCAGTTGAGGCTCCAAATTTTGTCCATACCTCAGCATCATAGGCATTCAATAAAAGTTAAGACATTTCATTGAGCTATTTTAAATCCTTGTTGCGACAAAGCCTTTCACAGCATTGCGTTCATTGAAACCTCGATGACTTGAATTGAGTGTCCGCTGTACATATGAATGTTATTTTCTTTGATATAAGGCACAATCATCAGATCGAAACGAATCAATAGGATTGTGGCGCCGAACGAATGGCGTGGGCCTAGCAATGCTCCAGGAGATATAAACGAGGAATATTTCACTAACCAAACCTCACTCTTTCCTTGTTTACGTGCGCCACTCTGTAACACTTTCCCTTAAATTCTGAGCAACTCTGAGCCTTTCTACCTTTTTCTCTAGACGTAACTATGCTTGACTGGATTTTATACCTTTCTGCAGGTTTTGCATAAAATTAGTACTATCCGTCCTTGGAGAGATGCTAATGAATCTATAGAAAAATCAAATGAGGTTCTGTTTATTTGTGGTAGAATGATATCCTCATAAATGCCTTCACAGTTCATGGTCTCACATGTGTTTTTCAAAGTGTGATTAAGACAGGAAAAGGAAAGGAATAAAAGCTTTGTGTCCTTAAACATTAAGCGTCATTCAATGTATATTCCATTTGACACCATCATTAGCGACAAACGTCACATGTTAAAATCATAGATAACATATTATACATAAAGATGCTTCCTGGATCTAGGAGTGGAGAGTGGTCGGTATGATAACGAAGAATGGAGGTGTGAAACAAAGAGATTTTGAAGCAAAACACTTAGGGAAAAGATGTTGCAACAAACCCAGTCAAATAACCAAAACTGATTCTGCTTCAATCAAAAAGACGTAGAAGATTAAAGATTTTAATCGGAGGCTTGCTGCATTGCGTCTCTTTTGTTATTCTAGTTCTTGTTGCATTGAATACTCGATCTTCCGAGGTAAGTATAGCATCACGAGCACCTGGCCATTTATGAGGACCCTGAATACACTTCGAATTACTTTGCGGTCTTCAAAATCAGTGCATTGAAGTATCAGGCTTCTAGATTTTAATTCTACCTGCAGTCTGTATTGATAGGGAACAAGACCATGAAATAAGAGAGCCTTTGCAAGTAACGGGTCGCATAAAGAACGTCTTAACACAGAAGGCCGACATCCGAGAAGTTTAGCCAGCTCATCCATTATTTCGACATAGTAAACCTAAAGGTGAAAACCAATCTATTTGTTCACTATAACAGAAGACGGAAAATATGCCAATTATGCAAACTTTTGGCAGTGAGTAATAACTTTTTAAAAAACAACATGCTAGGGAGTATATAGATATAAGAATAGCTACTAGAAGTATTACATGGTTTCGTAAGCTGGAAACAAGCAGCCTATCATCGACATCATCTTGAAGCAAATAAAGCTTTCAAAATTGCGTCGAAGCATAATTCTAACACAACCACTGATCAGAATAGCATCGGTTGGCCGTACAGGGCCGATGTTTCATCGTACGTCACAGTGCTGTCAAGAAATTCTTCGTTTGCCTTAAATAAAAGAAGCTCAGAACAGGCTTCGCGAAGCAGCCATTGCCTTAACTGATGTAAAGAATCCGTTTAGCAATTTTTTATGCTTTTTAAATGTCTTCCTAGTGATGGGTGTTGAGTGGTGAATGTTGGAGGTTCCACATTCCCTAAAGTAGGCTAATGGGGAGGCAACTTTGATCATCGGCTTCAGATAGTCATCGCTAATTGCTAATGAGTGCCCCGACATTCTATGTCATGACGACTCATATCTCGTCTTCAAAATCTTAACAGCGACCTTTGCATTGTGTGTTCGGAAACTTTTCGTTTTGTTGCTTTATATTTAAACTTGCACCTATGAGGCCAAGCAATGCTATTTTCGTAGATTGGAAGTAGCAATTAAATCGTATTAAACTCATTACAAATTAAGTTTCAGACCAAGTATAACATGGCACATTGTTGATTAAGAAATATGATTTAAACACAATGTGTATCAGTAATATAAGCAAGAAATAAAAGGATAAAGGATAAAGCTGTCATCGTTGATCAATTCCTGAGAGATGCGCCATGTATTCGACTTCATTAAGCATCGTTTGGAGGTGACTAAATGCATATCTGGTCTTTGCAACGGCTCGAGGTGGCCTGCCGATATATCCAGTCAGCGCTGCTATCCTCCCAGATAAGTTTGGCACCATTTTGCCGACCCTGAAGGGGGAATTTTGCAGGAGCAAAGCTTGTGGAGTATGGCTGCTGCGATCGATTCCACTTGTGTGTTGCAGAGCGCCTCCGACCACTGAGACTCTCCCGAGGCAAGAAATAATCGTTACAAAATCTCTCTGTAGATTTCGTAATGACAAAGTCCGCCTCTATTTTTGCACAAACCTAAGAGAACGTGAAAACACGGAGCTTTTCAATACATCAGCTTCTTTGGGAGTGTTCAAGGCTGCAATTTTGTAAATTCTGCTGATTAGTCGCATTTTTTCTGCTCACCTGAATAGTGTGCCTTCGACTTGCAGTGAATTCTTTTGACAGTGTTTTGTGCTTCAACTTTATATCGAGTTCCATTTTCTTCTTGGACGGTAGAGTGATTTTTCCCTGAAAAACAGCTCAAAGAGAGATTTCACTGCGCAATGTGATGTGTTTCGTCTGCTGATCAGCTACATGAACAGACTGAAACATAAAATTAGAAGAACACGTTTCTAACTAACGTTGAGAGCCGCAATGAAAACCCTTGTCTGCATCTCCGAAATCGGCATGATGGATCCAGTAGGTTGAACTAACCCGATGACAGCTAGGGAATTCTGAAAAACAGGAGATGTAAAATAAATCAACTCGAGACCTGCGATTGTCACTGTCAATCTTTAAACCTTTGTTTGAGCCCTCACAATTCCTCCTTAAGGAGGCTCGTGCATTAAGGTTATTAGCAGCACGAGGGTGTCAAAGCATCTACGCTTATATAAAAGTCACTATCCTTGCACAGGATGTCAAAACCCCAACGTGTAAAGTTCTTGAGGTTTTTTTGGACACATGCCAAAAATCCTAATATGGACAGCAAGGAGGGATGCCTAGAGATCACACGTAATCTATCTCCGTGTCCTAGAATAAACTTTTGATGTGGGGTGGCGCAGCCATCAACCATATGCGTCTCCAAGAGTCTGTTCTTCCTCGGTGTAAAGTACGCACAAAACAGTGGGTCTTTCGAGAAGCTGTTGATCATGCCATCATTATCGTTCAAATTTTCAACCTTCTGTTTCTATCATCGAACGTTTTGACATAATAAATTTCGTATGGCTATACTGCCGAAACGTCGGCTTTAACATAATAAAGAATAAAGGATAAAATAACACCTCCTACTTGCTCAACAAGAATGTAGAGAAGTTTTCGACGAATGCCAAAGTTAACAGAAGGTCGATAGTTGGATTTACTATCATTCTGTTTCTTTGACTCTGACTGCTTAGCTTACTAAATAGAAGTATTGTCTTCTTCTTGAAGGAATCCTAGTTGCAAGACTATAAACCATTTTCCGACCACCATGAAACAGCGACCTCTTGTGTTTACAGGCCGACAATAGGTAATAGAAGGTATACCTGGTTTCCAGGAAAAATCACGTTCAGGCGGCATTCAATTGGTGGAAAAGTCCACTGATTCTGGAGCCATAGCCCAACCACAAATAAATGCTACCACATCTATGGAGATTAATCGAAAGGCAGTCAAAATTGTGAGGCAATGCGGAAGCTCGCACGACATGCGAGGCCACGTATGTACCTACGTGGCTAGTGATTCCTGTTCTTTACAACAGACATTTGAACGGCTTTAAAATAGTGAGAGAATTTATAATCCAAACATTGTATAGCGTTTGTGTAAGCAGTTAGTGAATAACTTCTGATGAGACTGTTATAATATTTTAGAGTGCCTTTTTGTGCGGCATAAGGAAGCTGTTCACTCTTATATACTTTTGCGAATCCGAAAAACTTTTTGTGTCATAACCTTGCAAGGTTTGACTTCTTACTAAGTGAAGCTTATTCGAATGTTTTACGAAAACCAAATGAGAGTAACTTGATATTTTTTGGTTGAGCCTGCAATCTTATCTCTGCGAGAGCTTTTAAATTAGAGTTTTAAATGAAAGTTTCACCTTGGGAGACAATTGTGGCGGGAACATATATTTGTATAAGTCGACATGATTTTCTTTAACTGGGATCAGCTGACCATTTTCGATGAGAGGAAAGCCGAAAGAATAACCAGTGGCAAAAATCACCTGTTAAAGTAGTTATCATGTCATTTAGATACTGGAGCACAAAAACCACTTACCGTGTCAACTTTGGGTACTTCGGTACAATCTTCAAAAATAACACCTTCACTAGTAAATGATCCAATATTTGGCTTGATCTAAATAGTATTGAAAAAGCTTGGGATCATATGGGTTCTTTAATAAGCGATAAAGCTTTCGACAATTGCCCGAATTTTGCATAAACTCACTACTACAGTACCGGAGATTATACGATTTGGCAACTCATCATTGATGGTTACGTGGGCGGAAAGTACGCGATGCTCAGGCTTTAAACCGAATCGTCCGTGATCAAATCTGTAGCGCTGATTAGAAACAACAAGCAGATTCTAGGCTCTAGTTTTTAAATGATGTTTTTGAAAATGTGGAATACGTTAACAAATTTAAACACATGCACTGTTTAACGAGCTGATAGATATACCTGAGATCCAAAACGTTTCACGCCAATCTTTTTACTTTTAAAATCACTCATGTATTTTTATAGTTGTTGTAAAAAAAAAAGCAACACAACCCATCCGACTTAGCTTATTTCCTTATATATCCGTTTTTAAGTTAATAAGCAGTAAGAGAGTAAGAAGTTCTATTCGAATCTCTCAAAATGTGCAGCAGAGCGTCTACTCCAGTGGTTAGATATTATGCTTGACAAGACACACGGAGTCACAATGATGCTGATATACTTGTAAAACTCCAAACTGCCAGTATATATGATATGGATCGAACGCGTTATTGCTCTTTCTGGGGGCTAACTTGTTCCTCACCACATCATACGCGTCCGTTTTGCCTCTTAGCCGTGTTTTAGTCTATAAGTGCAGCCAACAATCACCTGTTAGCGGGATTGATCTGGGGATCACAAACCATTGCCGAACCCAGTTAAGCTGAAGCCGTAGTATAAAACACAATGCAGTACTTTTTATTTACTGCCTATTCTTTTTTCATGGACCCTGCATAGAGTAATAGCGTGCTCGATCTCTACCGAAGACACCTACGGTCCGAAGTTTTGCAGATATCCCAGCATCATTGCAGTTACATTTCACATTATATCTGTTGTAAAGAAAGAATAGGCATTAAATGAGAAGTACTACACACTGGATCGGTCCTCCTTTCCATCTCATGTTTCTGATGATCCACTGAGTCTCCCATCGCCCAAAGTTCAGCATAGTGGTAGCAGTGTTCCCAATGAGGATTAACACCATTTATACATCACTAGGCCGCAAGTTCTGTAGGCCAGATATGCATTCATCCATCTACAGAGATTCATAAATGCGTGGAACCCAATTCTGGAAAGCCGGGCTGTTTATCTTTCATTCCTTATCCGTTTAGACATATATATATATATATATATATATATATATATATTAACTCGCTATTTATTCGATATATTCCTTGCACTACGCAGGTTTCTAATTTTTTTTTTACTCAACCTCAGCAGATTAGATAAGTATAACCATTTCCAAGTTTCGCGTGCCACTTTTTGTGTAGTTCCTTAATAGTTCCCAGGATCAACTTTCTATTAACCTCGGCATAGGAATATGAATGCGTCGTTTTCTTGCTTAGCAACCGCGAGATTGCTGAACCGCATACATTTACTTCCATAGAAGAACACAATGCAATACAACAGTAGCTCACGTTTCGGCAGTATCGCCTTGTTCAGAAGATGGAAGGCTTTACTGATATACAATCTACTAGGCCAAACGCTTCAATAACACTTACAAAAAGACGAAAAACTCTATGGCAATTACATGATCAAAATCCATCACTTCTTTTTACGTGACTTCCAATGAGAAAGATTAGAACAGCTGATTATAATCACATATGGATGACGACTGCACCATCCCACATCAGAAATTCATGCGAACATACGGGGTCAAGTTGCGTATGACCTCTGGGCATTCATCCCTGCTATTCATTATAGGGTTTTTAGCATTTATCCAAAAAGGCTCAAGAAGTTTTCACGTTGGTGTTTTGGACTCCTGTGCAAGGATATTGACTTTTACTTCAAAATCGTCTCCGCTATGCTTTTGTATCCTATGCGTGCCTAGTGGGGTGCTTCGTCTTAGTTTTCGTTTGCCATCTAGGTGTTCTTTTATACGGATACACAAAGGTCTGCCCGTTTCGCCAATATATTTATCTCCGCAATCATTACAAGAGATCAGGTACATCGTACCTGAACTCATGCAATCACCGTCCCTGCCGTAAGGGCAAATTACGCAATTTGTTGTTTCACACAGACGGTCATGCAGGCGGTTGCGAACTAATTGGCGACGTAGAGTAGTCGGTGGTATTTCAACTATCGCTACCGATTCCTCTAGACCTGCCCTTCTTAAGCATCGTTTCATAGCTGCGCTTACTTCATCGCTTATAAAAGGCAACATAAACGGAATTTTCTTTTGGCCAAGTGTTTCGCTTGGGCGCGTCGCTCTCCTTCTAAACTTATCTCTTAGGGTTACTATTTCGTAGCCAATTGAGATGGCTATCTGCCGATCCAAGTCGCTCGACTCTTCTTTTAGTTCCATGGTAGTGAACACAGAGGTGGCTGTTCGAAACATGTTTTTCACAAGCGCCCTCTTTGTGTGTGAAAGGTAGAAAAAGAGGAAATGAACCAGGATGTTCTCGTTACTTGGCTTTCGGTACCACTTTGTCATGTAACCGTTACCTGATAAGTTGATTTAAACGTTAAGAAATGGAAGCCCAGGTTAATTTAATACACTCAGACTGCTCATTCAATAATTCAAAGCATTTGTCCATTTCCCACTGAGTAGAGAAGTTGACAAAACAATCATCTATATATCTGCACTCGAGTAGCGGCCGGAGATCGATAACCGGGGCTTCAATTTAAACACGGACGCAATGGCGAGAGTTGGTACTAACCGCTGTTTTAGGTACTCTTTTAAGAGAGCCATAACCTGCTGAATAGGCAAGCCGTGCATGTGTATTCCTCCTTCATGTTTAACAAGAAGTTCGTGGATAGCTTGCATTGCGGCATCATTCGATACGTTAATGTAGAGCGAGGAAACATCGAGAGACTCCATCACGCACGCGTTGCTAGGAGAGGCGTTACGTAGACGTTCTAGGAACATTTGGCTGTTCGTGAGGTGAGCTGGAACATGGCTAAGCAGTTGGGCAAGTATTCGGCGTAGAAACCATGTTATTCTATCGGTTCGCCCTTCTACACAGTTGATAATGGGTCTAAACTTATAGGAGAGTGGAGTGGTAGACGAGAGATCATCAGCTGACACTAACTTATGTGTTTTAATAAGCGGCATATATAGCGGCATATAAAGCGGCACATGTTTATCGATCTATTTTTAAATGCGAAACAACGGATGGTTTTAAGCCCACCGCCTTTGCTCTTGTGACCCATTCATTGTTAAGTTTTCGGTATTCACTTTTACATGACTTTTCAGAAGATGGCCGATAAAGGGTAACATCACTAAGATGTTCCCCCGTTATCATAACTTCTAACTGGCGAGGAATAACTACGAACTCTCCCACTTATCACTAACAGACAATTTTATTTTTTTCGAGCTTATTAATTCTCTAATTTCTCGCATGCCACATTTTTGCGCAGTTGTGAGGTTAGACATATACTTTCTATCGCAGTACTGGGAAAGGGTTTTGAGTACATCGTCTATAAACATGCGAACAACCATCTCTGTGTGCACTACCAGGAAAATAAAGGAAGAGTCGCGCGACTTGGCTCGGCAAATAGCCATCTCCAATGGCTACGAAATAGTAACTCCACGAGATAAGTTTACAAGGAGAACGACGCGCCTACGCGAAACACTTGGCCAAAAGAAAATTCCGTTTATGTTGCCTTTTATAAGCGATGAAGTAAGCGTAGGTATAAAAAGATGCTTAATAAGGGGAGGTCTAAAAGAATTGGTAGCGATAGTTGAAACACCACCGGCTACTCTACGTCGTCAATTAGTTCGTAACCGCATGTATAACCGTCTATGTGAAACAACAAATTGTGTAACTTGCCATTACGGTAGGGACGGTGATTGCATGAGTTCAAGTGCGATATACCTGATCTCTTGTAAAGATTGCGGAGATGAATATATTGGCTATACTGGCAGACCGTTGTGTATCCGTATAAAAGAACACGAAAAGCAACTGGATTGGAAACGAAAAGTAAGACAATAAGTACTCCACTAGGCACACATAGGATACAAAAGCATAGCAGAGACGATTTTGAAGTTAAAGTGAATATCCCCGCACAGGAGACTGAGATACCAACGTGCTAACTTCTTGAGGCTTTTTGGATAAATGCCAAAAACCCTGCAATGAATAGCAGGGATGAATGCCCGGAGGTCATACGCGACCTGATCCCTGTTCGCATCGATTTTTGATGTGGGATGGTGCAGTCGTCAACCATATGCGACTATAATCAGCTGTTCTAAACTTCCTCATTGGCTTGGATCAATGCCAAAAACCCTGCAATGAATAGCAGGGATGAATGCCCGGAGGTCATACGCGACCTGATCCCGTACGTTCGCATCGATTTTTGATGTGGGATGGCGCAGTCGTCAACCACATGCGACTACTATAAATCAGCTGTTCTAACCTTCCTCATTGGAAGTCACGAAAAAAGCGGTGAGTGTTTCGAGAAATTGTTGATCACGTAACTGCCATAGAGTTTTCCGTCTTTTTGTAAGTGGTATTGAAGCGTTTGGCCTAATAAAATGTATATCAGTATACCATTCCAGGCGCTGAAGAAGACGATGCTGCCGAAACTTCAGCTACTGTTCTATTGTATTGTGTTTTTCTATGGAAGTAAATGTATGCATAACAGCTGCATAACAGCCTAACGATTACTGAACAGGAAAACGACGCATTCATAGTTCCTTAATCTCCTTTCTCCAGAATGACAAAGACAATAAACCGAGAAAGTTGATCAGTCCACAAACTCCTTGTCATGCAGTTGATGCTTTGGAATACACGACAAAGTAAAGCACGAAGAGGCTAGTGCTGACTTGATCTTGAGATTATGTACGATATTTCAAAGAAATCCCTACTGCATGCGTGCTAACTTTACAACGTGCTGGGGGCACTGTCATGGAAGAACTTAACTCGAAACCGTTTCAATTTCTTCTCCTTCATAGTGGCAATAAGTTTATCTGCTAAATGTACTGAATAGCACTATCCACTCGGTTCAGACCCAGCAACTCTTGAAGAATCATGTCTAGCAACCCAGGAAAGCGGACATTGGCACCTTGTAGCCGTTCCGTCGCGGAGCATGTTTCCATTCCCAGTTACTTCCCTTCAGATAGCTTTCTTAGTGCGAATGGATCAGCAAAGGTATGTGCTGATTACCACATAGGATCACGGCTGGTTAGAGTGTGCGTTGTACAACTACATCTCATTTTGCAATAACTCTAAGTTACTTGATACTTGATAATTGAACGGCCCGTCCTCACTAGTTGTGCGGGCCCCAGCATAATCACCATTTTTCGAACATTTGCTGGTTAAGCCATTGTGGTTGCCTGGAATCCCGAAGACAGCCTGGCCAAAGTCTGCACCAAGTCTTCACCACCACAGGCAGTGGCAGTCCTTGTGAATCAGAGAGAGATTTGCGCCTTTGATACCAGGACGGTGGTGAATCATGGTATTGGTTTACTCTTAGCTAGGCTTTCTGATGGAAACGCCGGACTCCTTCTCAGCTTGGGAGACTCTGCCGTGAGGATGAATCCCCCACTGTACATCGCAGTCCGACACCCAAGAACACCTCCCAGTCACGATGTGGAGGTAAACTGTTGAGAGGAACTTTAAGTTACCACCCGATAATAGCAATGTTGTCAAAATGTGACAGGTTTTCCTGTCATGACAAATTTTAGCAGCTCGTGCTGTCGTCGTGGTTGTACGGAGCAGGCGTAACCTGTCAGCTGCTTGGTTGCGTTTTAATTTAGCACAGTAAGAGATAGATGAACTCAATAGATGACTAACCGTTTGTTAAGTTTTCTCTCCAGGACGTAGTTTTGCACAAACGACGGAGTAACTGTCTTTAATGCGAACATGAACCTAGAATAATTGTGATTTATAATCTAAACGGTTAGACACCTCTAATCTAGTTGTTAGAGGCGCCTTGTAACGCATACTTGGGCATTAGTTCGATCTTGCACCGTGGACTAACCAAAACCCTCATGCCACGTGTGTCTGCAAATAGGCACCATATTTATCTAGAAAGCATCGTCTTAATGTGACAGCAGCTGCACAAAAGTTCTTGCATAGGCCGCGCACAGTCAGATGAAAGGCCCAAAGATCCGTGATTGATCGAAGCTGTACCTTTCACCATTTCTCTTTTATCTAGATCGTTAGTATATGATATTATTTGGACATGTTAGCATAAATCCAATTTTGAAATCCGCTAATTTTCAAAGGCATGTCACCCTCTTTCAATGTCTATCAGTGTCTTTGCATATTCTCAGTGATCGAACCCGAGATTTTTTGACGCCCTTTCAAGTACTACATTTTCTTCACACTGTCACTGACTAAAGAACCATGAGATTTTCCATGATTTTTTGCAATTGAAGGCACTCAGATAGCATTTTCCGGTCTATAAGTACCTACATCAATTATTTCCTATTAACTCGAAAGACCGACTTTCTATAAACCTCGGCATAGATAGTTGATATATTTATTTATGTGATCTTATAAACTGATTTTCTTAAGCTGACGCGAGGTTGGCACAGATCTTCGTTATCGTTGTCGTTGTTTTTGATGTTATTGATCGATGGCTGACGTTTCGGCGAATTCGCCTTCCTCAGAGCCGTGATGTTACATGCGGGACCCGCAGATAAGAGGATCAGTTTATAAGATCACATAAATAAATATATTTCCTATGAGTTTCAAATGCAGTAGTTAACCTGCTAAGAAGAGCCATGTCAACCGGTTCTCCTCCGTCCCATACGCGATTCATAATCCACGATCCAGATCTTGTAGCTAAGTAGACCTAAACTGTTAAATTTTGACTTTGGACTTTTGTAAAAAAAAATAGTTTAGCTGTTTAAGGTTGTTTCTGATTAATTGACACTACTCAAAATATTTGCCCAGAATACGTAAACTACCTTCTTTGATATTTTACTCAGCTCAACAGCAATATCAACACCACTGTTTCCAATTCCTAATACAACAACAACTTGGTTCTCGTAGCCCTGAAATTGTTAGCCTTCATCTTCGATGAACTTTCAAAACTAATTCGAAAGCTTCTACCTACTTTATGATCCCTGTAGTCGTGGCTGTGAAGAAGCTTCCCTCTAAATGATTTTTGTCCAGGAAAAGGTGTTGGCCAGTAAGGATCACTATGATGACCAGTGCAGATCATGATGCCGTCAAATGTTTCGACAGCCAAGTTATTTGTTCTGCAGTAGTGACTGGGATTGCAAATATAAAGTTTTATTGAGGCAACATCTTTTAAGTTGCTGAGCATCTGCGAAACTGAGACCACTGGTCAGTTTCATAATCAGTTCCAAGTTTGCTTCGAAAACTTCTTAGTAAATTGTAAATTTAAAGAGCTTTTGGAATTTCAAACGGCTCTGAAGTCGTAGGAAAAGTACAAACCTAAAATTTATGTCTGAACCCTATATATCATTCTTACTTGAGGTTGATATACTCCACGTTCCATTGTCCAGTCTCACCAAAGCGACCATGCCTTGTTACAGATTTCACTTTATGTGAGAATCGTATGTGCTTTTTAAGATCGAAACTGTAAGTTGAATTTTTGCCAACAATCATTTCTGCTCAAAATACTGAATGAGAAAAATGTGTTTCTCTCATTACAGAAACTAAAAAAATTTTTTAATTAACTTAATTTAATTTAGTAAAATAAATGGTTAAAATTAGTTGATTAATTAAATTAATTAGGACTCGTGTGGAGCAGTGGTTGGAGGCGACACTGCGACAAACACGTGGAATCGATCCCTGTGCCCATGGTCCACCAAGCTTTCCATCCCTCTGCGGTCAGCAAATTGGTACCAGACTTGTCTGGGAGGGTAGCAGGACTGGCTCGATACATCGGTAGGCCACTGCGAGTCATTGTAACGGCCACATATGCATTCAACCACCTCCAACGATACTTAATGAAGTCGATTGCATGGCGCGTCTATCAGGGATTGATCATCGCCGAGAGCTTTATCCATTTTCCTTTTTTGATGAAAATAATTACGTAAGGCGCGTATGACATTTCGGGGTGAAGAAATACAGAAAGCTGATTTGCTATGTCAAGAACACTTACTGTTTAGCATAAAAGTGAAAATATTCCAGTAGCTCGGTGTTATGCATGAAATTTGCAGCATCATTTGGTGGTGGAAAATCACTGGAAAAAACTGGTGTCCTTTGGCATTTTAGGTTTCCATATAGAATGTTTCTCGCCTGTAGGCTGTCATTTCCTTAGAGGTATTAATTACTGTAGTTCTCATGACGGTACCTTCTCCTGAAATTTTCACCTCTTAAAGATAGGACTAAACATGACCTTCAAAGAAATATTTTGCACGACATATAAGTAGTTGGCGGTAGAATACTAAACCATTAGTCAAGTAGATTACTAGATTTTTACCACTTTTTATTTCTAGGGTAAAATGTCATGGCCGTAAATTTTCACTATCACAGATAATATAGAGAGGGCTTAATGAGGAACGCTGCGGAAAACAGCGAATTCAGTAGGAAATTTTTAAAGTAAATTTTAAAGTATTCATTGATGTGGTGCTCGTTGTTAAGTTAAGGTGACGTGATTCAGAAAAAACGCTGAGTTAGAGGAAGAAGATTTTTTGGTTTCTATGACTTTCTAATCTAATTGTTCTTCGAAAGGTTAACCATTATTCCAGCTGTGCTGTTCTGTGTTGAACTATTATTTACAGTAAAAGGTTTATTTGCAAGTAGGTTCTTCCAGGCTGAAAAAAATTGGCAATTTTATCTGAAACCCATTGAAGAGTGAACCAATGCCAACAGTCATCGCGATCTTGTCAAACACCTAGTCATACCTGGTGAGTGCTGAATAGCTGGAAAAGTCTCAGCACAGCTTTTCTAACTCAAAAATTAGAAACTTTTGTCCAACCAGCATGTTTCCAGTTATGGAGACTGAGAAGATCTGGACCACTATTCGCATTCGGAAGCAGTGGACTCAAGTGCTCAAGTAAAATGGGTGTACCTGGACAAATATTAGGTTTGTAGCGCCAAAGACCACCAATATCATCTGACATTTCAAAGCACACGACCTAAACATGAAAAAACCGCGAGGATATTTGATATAGCAAAGTCTAAAACTCGTTTGAAAAAAAACCAAATTCGGCAATTAAATTGTAAACCTTGCATTCCTCTTCAAGCGCACTTTTAATAGCCGGCAAGCCACTAGCTCCAGCTCCAATCACGGCCACTCGCATTCTGAAAAATGGCGTCAACTTGACGGAATAAAGATTGATAAGGCGATTCCGCAAACGGTTGGCATTCATGTTCATTCAGATGCTGAATCCTGAACGCATTTACTTAGATGCACGAAGTGCGACACCGTTTTCAAAGATATGGCAATGTAACTTCGGATTTGCAAAACACATCGTCTTTTAAGAGCAACCATTAAACCGGAAAAAATATGCGAAGACGTAATTATGGTAGAAGAGAGTCCATCTATTGTCTCGTCGTTGTGAGAGGAGGTTCTTGAGAATCAAACGGGATACGTAGCAAAGAAAAAATCATCTAAACAGAAAAATCCAGACATTTTCATTTAAATGCCTAACTAAGAGTAAACTTATTTTATAAGTTACGTTTGCACGAAGTTTGCTAGCGTGGTGATTACCACCTTGCAAAAGCTGATGATAACCTATGGCGACGATCTAAGAATCCTATGACAAGGTCAACTCGGTACTAAAGAAAAACTCGTACGACTAGCAAAAACCGGCCTTGATAATCCGTTTCCATTTACAGTATCAAGGAATGACACTGGCGATAAGTGTCGAGGAAAACCAAGTCGTAACCGCAGTCCTTGGCCTCGTACTAAGGCAATGCAAGCATCGCACGCCATAGAAACAGTTTCAAGTTTAATTTTGTACCAACGACTTCGTAACGCTACCATCAAGCACCGATTTTTACGCACTTATTTCAAATTCGGTATGATAGCCGTATAGAAAGGAGGTAGGCATCAATTTTTTAGGATACCGACACGAAAAGTTATACTCGTTACATTGCAAACGATTGCGTTAGCTATAACATCCTCTCACCCGCGAAGCTGTTATCATATCTTCTCATCCTCAGCGCTGTCACTTAGTCGTTCCATCTTTCGCTCCGAACTTCTGCTTCAGAAAAATGATGATATAAACTACTTATAAAAGCGTAAAGAAACTTAGGCTATGCTTCACTGAACACAATTAAAAACAACTTGATACGATGACGAAGAGCGTGCATCAGAAGGACGAACGACAATGGACATCGACTCAGATTACTGGCTCTGAAAAAGGCGAAGAGGTCGAAACAGCCGAATAAATATTTAGCAAAAACCTCGTGTTAGCTTACCAAGGAGAGAAAGTATATTGATGAACTAGTTATTTACTCACTATCTAGACTACCGCCGACACACATCGTGCGAATCCCAACAAGAACTCCATTTGCTTTGTTATCATAGAAGCATCATCTATGCAGGTGAATGTATTCAAGAGCGGCATCAGCTATGGAGGCTTGAACGCTGATTCTAAAACTAGAATGATGTGGAGATATTTACAAAATTCAAGACCGCAGGTGTCTGCGCTACGTGGAGCTAACCTCGTATATAACCCTTTGCGGAGACTAATGTGTTCACTAACACACCATGTGCGCAATAAATAAGAAGTGATTACATTGTCGTTTATACACGGTCTTCAGTTTAACTGGACTCAATGCTGATTTGCACTTCCCAGATCAATCCCGTTGACGGATGATTGTTGATGGCGCCTACATACACGATTGAGAGAAAGGCGAGACGAAGGATACACATGGTGTGGTGGTGAACACGTTAGCCACCGGAGAGGGTAATAACGATGTTCAGTCCTAGCCACAAACAAAGGTGGTCCGCAGTTCTGTAAATATCTCATCATCATTGTAGTTGCTCTGCCATAATGCTCTGCCATGATCAAAGAATACATATTAGATGAAAAGTAATTACGTTCTTAACCCTTTTATTTACTGCCTTTTTCTTCTTAATGGCAGGGTATGTTGCGAAATATAACTCGTATGAAATGCTGAGATATTTGCAAAACTCTGGACCGCAGAACTAGCTGAGAGACAGGCAAGACGAAGGACCCGGATGGTGCGGTGGTGAAGTGCGCTGCTCCCCGGCAAGCACAACAGCGCGTATTCGTTCCCCACTGCATCCACCCGCGGTCCGGAGTGTTGCAAATGTCTCAGCATTTCATACGAGTAATTACATTGTTGATTCCAAATATGAATATTTAGAGTTTGCACGTGTAATGAACACATCGACCAACATTCCTGATCGTCTCCTTCAGGATTGTTTGGGTTCACTCAGGATCCTCTCTAATGTTTTCTTTTCACTTCTTTTGTGTGCTTCTGTTTTGGTTATGTGGCCATCGCTCCAAATGATGTCTTTTTGCTGGCTCTAGGAACCCGAAGAAAGATGGCATCAAGGTGCAAGTTTAGAAAGCAGGGCTCGATTTCCCATATATCACAGGTAACACTTTTAGGTGTAAGTCGAAGTCGAAAAGAATACTGCATCAAACCTACAGGGACGAGCATCGAAATCAACAAACCGGTTGCTGATTTCTGCTGATGAATCGAGAGCAGCCGCGCTGCTTATAAGCTCTCTACCTAGTTCACTTAACTCGTAATCTATATTAGTCTCAGATAGGTGAAACACGTTGTATATTCAACCTATGATTCGTCCGAAATAATCTGTTTTTCTTTCACAACAAAAGTTTTTCAGGAATAGAGTTTACTTCCAATTTATTTATACCCCAATTTTTGCTTCATTTGTTTGTCTCAATAGGCACTTCTGTTTCTGAAGTACTAATCGGTCAGACGAAAGTATTGACAAAATGAAGACTAGATAGGAGTACACAGTACAGGGCAGACAAGAGTACAAAAGGAGACAGAGTACAAAACGATGCCAACGTGAAGAAACAGAATGAAAACGCCGAAGTTTATTTTTGGCTAGGGGCGAGATGAAGCCAACGCTATTAGAGTTACGTTATGGGGTGCCCACACCTACGGTGACAAGACTTCTATTATTCATATACCAGGTTGGGCCATCTTATTCTTAGTTTCTTAAAGCACGATCACGTCGTATTTGGTGCTGTTTGAGTTATCCAGAAAAACACGAAGCTGAGCAGAGTGATCTTACATTTTATGCACGCAATGGGAGGATGTCTAGAAAGAGTGTAACCGCCGCATCGTGGAAGCCAAAGAGAGCCTTTTTAGGGCGTTTTTAATTCTTCATAAAAATCACTCAACAACTCGCTAGGTCAACTGATCGTTCGAAGATGATCTTTAGTGATCTTTCAAAGCGATCCCTAAGAAAACCGGAATCCCTAGATACTGAGTTTTTAAGCTACTCAACCTTTAGTAATATTCATCAGGAAACATTCACTCGGCTATCATGGATTACTCACGATGTTCAACAGGGAATCTGCAAATTTGCTGCCCACGATTTCGTTTCAGGAATAGAAACCGCTTAGAAAGCGATTGCAACACTAGTATGTATAGAATATGATGGATTCAAATGAGTGGACAACGTCATGTGGCCCATTTCTTCAACACATCATTGCCGTGAATTTTCGTTTCTTTGTGAAACAATCCTGTATTGGCAATACTGTGAAAGGGGAAACCCCAATGTATTTCAAATACAATACTGTTTTTCTTAACAACTTAACGCTTGCGTAATATAATCTTGTCCTAGCTGTTTTGACCAGCAACTTCTCTGTGCAATGAGTCGATTCAGCCACAGACTTGATAAATCCAAGCAACATATGACAACAACATTTTTGGCGAAGTCATTTTTTAAATAACTGCATTCTCGGAGAAAAAATTACTGAAAACATCGTTAGATGTCGAAACTTTGTTGAATGCGGCCTGTTTGTTTAATTAAAAAGTTCAAAGAGTCGTTAAGATTTGATACAACTTCAGCCTGCAAATGATTGGTGGATCGATGACATAACATGGGCACAGGTAGAAGAAATATTGAAGGGTAAGGAATAAGTCGAAAGCACCGACCTAAGTACAATGAAAATGTAATGTCTCGCCAAAACACTTGTAGAATAGCACACAAATTCTCGTTATTTCCTAGGATAATATAGGAAAATAAAGAGAAAGTGCTGCTTCATCGTTTTTTATGTCAAATCTTTATTAACAAACTTCAGAATTTCAACCGAAAAAAAATCAGAATCTTTGACATAAAATTACGACATTAGTTGAAGGCATAGGTAACGGTGTACCTAGAATAGAAAACACGGAGGAATGAAGAATGGTAGATTTACTTAAAATGGAAGGCACGAAAAATGCACCTTCGAAGACAAGAAATGTTTGTTGCATGAAAACATAGAAGTGTTGCATCTTTCGATACTGGACCCGCCCATGACATTCGCTGAATACGCTTCAAATCTTAAACAAAGAAAGGGAGATCGTATTTCCATCTTTAATAGAGAATTTATAGAGGAGATACCAAAGCTGGAGCTTGGTCCTACTGCAGTACATCTATTGTGGTTGACAACAAATGCTAGCAGCAAGATGAAGTTCTGTAAACGCTCAAAAACTACTAGAGAAGACTCAAAAGAACCATTTTCAATAAAAGACATCGAAAACTGTATCAAATGACGTTTTGTCATCAATTCTTCCGAACTATTACAGGATTTCTTCTACATCTCTTCATGATTGTGGAAAAGGGTTACTTCAATATTTTGTTTTTCACGACGACCTTGCCGAACCTTAAAATTCTAACTGAAGAAGGACAATCATAGTCTCGTTCGGGGCGATGAGTTGCTGCAAAGCCATGAAGAGGGGCGTATTACCAGAGGAAAATGGAATCATGGATGACTTCGTTAAATAGGAAGTCAACTTACGCGCATCTCGCATTCTCTATGAAAACCTGCTTCCAAGAGATAAGAATCACTGACCAGTGGAGGGCCTCGCACACGGTTATGTTGCCGAAGAAAGGTGAATGAACGATCTTCCTAGAAGCCACTATGTATATATATA